AAAATGGGGAGGTGGGAGAAACACTGCTCTCTCCTTCCCTGGAAAACTACAGAACTGAAAGCTTGGTCCCAGGGTCAGGTGAAGGCTCCTTGGCAATGCAGGAGTGACGAACAGTTCTTCCAGGCTGTTGCTTCAAACAGTTTTCTGTGACAGTGCTCCCAGCTATAACAGACTGATTTTCAGGGGTAGTTGTCATTCCTTTATAGCTGTGGTTATCAGTGTAAGTGCTTAATAAGGTCAAACAGGTAAGTAAATACACATAGAAAGTGGCATATAAGAACAGGGAGCAGCAGGAACTATGGAGAACTGGAAAATCATATACCCAATCTAACCATGGAGCCCCAGCTTTCTCAGCTCAGTGCATGATGATGAGATTGGGGAATTCACCTTTTAATTTTTTAAGAGAAATCAGAAATCTAATTAGGAAAATTTTTAAAATATTTAAAACACTGTACAAGAAAAAGAAAGTGTCTATGACTTGAATTTAGCCTGAGAGCCACTCATATGTAAATCTTGCTTTAGAGAAACTGTTTGTTCAGGTCACCAAGGTACACAAATTCTTATCATATGGAAGGTAGTTTCTTGCTATTAATGTTAAAATGAGCTCAAATCAGTTTCTGGCTTACATTTTATTATTATTATTATTATTATTATTATTATTATTATTAATGTGAGGGGTCAGCATTCATTAAAAAAAAAAAGCTGTGGGCAAGCCACTCACAAGCTATTGTTGAAATACACAATGCAGGTGCATATCTCACTCTTGCTCTTTCATTTAAAGTAGAGTTTTGCTCTGGGAAAATATGATCATGGGAGAGTGTTTTCTGATATACAGGACTGTAATACAACGCCTTTCTAATGGTGGTTTCCAGTCAGTGCCACACATGATTTGTAATGAGTGAGCATTTGTGTGATCATTATTTAAACCACGTGTGTGGTGTCTTGATAGCTATTATTGGATTGAAAACTGTTAAAATCCCCTCAGAGGTAAGAATTACCTCTCCCCCTTACTTATCTTTCTACTCCCATTGATACAAGATAAAAGAGAAAGTACAGACCAGAAGCAGTAGTTTAAAATAGCAGCAACAGCAATCACAAAAGAAATCAGAGGCTGATAATGTAGTGATACATATTACAAATATTTTCCCAGGAGGATAACAAGTTTTTAACCTTGGGTAACATAGTGTCTCCATTTTAACAGTGCATATAAAACTGAAGTACAAAGAAATAAAGGGATAGATTTTTTTTTTGCTTATTATTTCTTTGACAAAAAAATCAGAAAAGTACAAAGTACTTTTTTTTCCCCAAAAGATTTAAAATAAGCAGGAAAATATAAAAAATCATGTACAAAGTATTTCAACAGCCTTTTCAGTACCTATGTAAAATGTTTAAAAGGTAAGAAATTTTATTCGTTCAAGTAGTGAGAACGAAGGTAAGAACATTACATTTAGACGAAGGAAAAGATTCATTCTGAAAAAGAAAAYAGTTGAATGCAAGTTGTGGGGCATAGCTCAGTGGTAGAGTACATGCTCAGCTTGTGCCAGGTACTATGTTCTATTCCCAGCACCATATTTATTAAAAGATATGGTACTATAAAATATACTATAGTGTTATTTTATATATTTTGAAATTTTAATAAATGATATGATAATGATCCTCACCTTGATTTTTCTCAATCAATATTATCTGTATCAACTGGATTTTTGTTTGTTTGTTTGTTTTTGTGGTGTTGGGGATTGAACCCAGGGGTTTGTGTATGCTGGATAAGTATTTTACCACCAAGCTAAATCCCCAACTCTCAATTGGGTCTTAATACAAGCAGGTCTAGTGCATTAATTTCGAATGTTTCATACAAATGCTTTTGAATGAATAAGACAACTTATTTATTCTTCTGATGATGAATATTTCTATTATTTCTAACTGTTTGCAATTACAATAATGCTGCTGTGAATGTCCTTGAAGTTGCCTCCTTAAGCACATGCATCAGAGTTTCACTGGGGTAATTTTCTAGAAGTAAAATTCCTAAATTATAGGATATAATCGTTATCAAATTTAGATATTGTCAAAATGTTTTCCAATGTTTGTACCAATTTGTACTCTTTTCAGCAATGCTGGTCCAGACTTTCTAAAAAAATATGTCAAATACATACATTCTATGGTTCTGAGGATTTTCCATTGCAGACTTTACTCCTACCCAGTGTCCTGTATGTTTTTTCTTCTCTTACCTCTGAAGGATCTTTTTTTTTTTTTTTACATTCTTAGGAAAGTGGAGTACATATTTAAATGTTGTTGTTCATGTTCTTTCAGAATAAATGACACAATTTTCAGCAAAAGTTAGCTGCATTCAACTGTTTTCTTTTTCAGAGTGAATCTTTTCCTTCATCTAAATGTAATGCTCTTACCTTCGTTCTCACTACTTGAATGAAAAAATTTCTGATYTTTTAAACATTTAACATAGATCCTGAAAAGACTGTTGAAATACTTTGTATGTGATTTTTGATATTTTCCTGCTCATTTTAAATCTTTTGAAAGATAATAAAAACAAAACAACTCTTGGTCTTGGCATTAGTTGATCTCCTTAAATTCCTTCTGTTTTTTGGCACTATCCAAAAGCTGCATCCAGAACGAATGACTTTCTTCAACTCTAGGTATGCAGTTACAAGATTTAAGTAGGTGCCTGGGAATTTTGTTAGTTTCATGAGAAACATTATAATATCAATATTAGCTGAAGCCAGGGAAACAAAACCTCCTGTCAGATTCTGCATCACATGACATTTACCGACAAATAGGCATTTACTTTTTCTTCAAGACAAGAAACAGTTTATATTAGGCAGGCAAAAACTGTGGGTTTCCTTGGGGTCACRACATACTTAGTTAAGGAGATTATTGCTGAAACAGAACTGTAGGAAGAAATACATTTACACTCATTTCAAAATGGGTGAGTGCATTGTTTTCAAGTAAGCTAATAAGTTAGGCTCCTCGACCTCTGAATGCTAGTAATACTTGCTATTGAGGACATCCATTAGAAGTACTGAAGAGGATGATGTGGTACTTTGAAAATGCTTCATATTACTGTCCACCGGTAGTCCCTTATAGAAGGTTTTGTTTTTGGAAGAGAGTGAGACAGGGATGGGGGTGGGGGAAGATGGTCCTCAACATTTTCTATTCCATTAATGGTCAATAATTGGCATTAAGGGAACATTGTTCAATGTTGCATTAGCTGTCAACAGCAGGCTGAGGTGAGATTTTGAATATTAAGTGACTTCCTAAAACACACACACACACACACACACACACACAACCCAAAACAACTACAGTGTAATCTAATCTAAGCGTGATGCCTGTCTTTAGGTTGCTCACATAGCAGATGTATCAACCACATAAATGTTTCTGTTCTCTGTCATTATCCACCAAGTTGGAATTTAAAGAAGTCATTAGCTTTACATGTAATGTAATCCAGGAAGCTCTTCATTCTTCTCAGGCTAAATTGATTATCAGCTGTGTTCCCTCCAGTGTGTTTACAAMGCCATAACTTCTCAAATGATTGTCTTTATTAGATTAAGTTTGTTTTTTATTTGTGGGGGTTAGTGGAAAGGTTGGGGGYGAAGAAGAATGAGTTTAAGAAAAGCAGAAAAAAAAATCCAACTCTTTTAAAATGACGGGTGATAGTAAAAAAACGAACAAAAACAAAAACAAAAAAAACAAACAAAAACCTCCCCCCAAAACTGTCATCACTAAGCTCTGTGGCCCTCCAGAATAGAAGTACTATGCTATATTAATATGAATRACCACACTAAGTTTAGGGACTAAATGTAACCAGAAAGGCTCTTTGTGAGACTGACTCTCAGTGTGTATCTGGAAAAGCAAAGTGTGGAAGACAAAATAGCAAGGGTAAGAGACTTGATTTCCCAGGATGCTCTGGGGACACCTCAGTGGCTACTAGATGGTCCCATTGTTGATTTTATTTGAAAACACTCAGTTGTACCATGGTCTTCCAGAGCACTGTATCTCTAAGAAACTCTAACTGTACCTTACTTTCCAAATGCCTTAAGTCTGGGAATTCGTTCTAGAATTGCTATTGATRGGTAACTGTGTCATCTCTCACTACTCCAGACACCATGTCCCCTTAGATGCCCTGCATCTGAAGTGGTTTTTAGAAGGGGAGCTGTGGCTACTCCTCTGAGCTCTGAATCTGAGTGCTTGGTTAGCTAGTTGTTTTGCAAAAGACTTTTTGTCCTTGCTTATTGCGTGATTTGAAATGGATTTCATTTTCTTGTATGTTATCTTGAGAGAAAATCTGCTTGAGTTGACCTACGGCAATGATTATGAGAGCATGAAGAAATTTAAAATCCATAGGAAACAGCTATTTTTTTTTCCATTGCCTTTTTTGAGAGTTTCCCTTTTTTGATGACTACTGTCCTAAGAGTGTCAGGTCTTGACAGCTGAAGTCCCATGTCTACTGTGAGGTGAGGGTCCCTTTATTTCATCAGAACCAGAATCCGTTTGAGCAGTTCTTCACAGCTCCATAACTCTCCAACTGCCTTCTGCGGGGTGTCACCCAGCTTGTTGGACAGACAACGATTGCCTCCCAAATGCCTTTAAACAGTTACATGTTTAAGACTGGGGCCTTTTATGTGGATGTCCAACCATGTCAGCKTGGCCTCTTCTTTCAGCTTGCTTTGTTTATCCGGCAGCTCATTACTTAAGACTAGCCTGTCAAAATAGGTTAAATATTTCTTTGGGAAATATGGCCACATCCTTGAGATACCCCAAATCTGTTTAATACAGGGAAGATTGGCTTGATAAGAGAAACGTGATCGACTTGCATCACCAAAAAATATTTTCCTGTTATTCCGGTTGTTTTCACAAGCATCAATAAGCACTAGCAAACCTGAGGGCAATAAATTTCTGCAGCTGACACATAAAGACACCAAGGGAAGCAGGGAAAATGATTGCTGATGATTCGTTCTAACTACTTGACCTTCTGACCTCTTCTCTAGATATATGATCAAGATGGGACACTACAGCACTTTATTGATGGTGGGGAACCTAGTAAGTCGAGCTGGATGAGGTATATCCGATGTGCAAGGCACTGCGGAGAACAGAATCTAACAGTAGTTCAGTACAGGTAAAGTATATCTTGATTTACCACTTACAGACCTGAAGCCCTATGGCTTGCATATGTAAATTCAGGCTTGCTGCTAGTGGTTGGAAAAATCCTATAGAACTCTGCAAAGATTGACAGTTTTTTTTTTTTTTTTGGTTAGTTTTCTGAAGCCTCCTTATAAAGGGATTAGTGAGTGAATGCCTCTTACACTCTATGAACATGCCAGAGTTACTTCCACATTATTACTCGAACTTCCACATTATTACTCGAACTTCCACATTATTACTCGAACTTCCACAAAAGCCTGATTGAGTCCTGCAAAGCCACTGACTTGGGATGGCTCCCCCAGCAGATGGGTACCCACATATCAGTAGGAGTTCAGAAACTCAGTCCCAGACCCCTGGCTTTCAGCTCCTCAGGATAGCTCCCAGGAAGGACAGTTTCATTTGCATAAAAGCATGGGAATCTGGGAACTCTCAACCTTYCCAGGATGGTCCTTCTGAAACCTGCTGTGCTCAGCAACAATGACTGAGCCAGGGTAACCTCTCCTGCTCCTTCAAAGAGTGCCAGAACATTTGGGTTTGGTCCTTTGGTGACTCTGGATATGTTTCTGAAGATGAATTAGTTTCAAAGTATAGAAGAGTCCCTATCTCCCAGCTCAATGAGGGGCGAAGGTAAAGGGGAGCCATCTCCCTTTCCCCACAGGAAAGTCACATAAGGAGGCCTCTGGGGAGCTGAGAAGCAAGGTGGATTCTCAGGATGTTAGGCCACCTCAGTGCACCTGCTGAGCAAGCATTTCCACTTAAGGCCTGAGAAGGCTGGAAGTGGAGACAAGRGGGCAAAAACAAATTAAAAAGAAAAAAGAAAAAAAAAACCCACCACTAAGCCTTTTTTTTTTTTTTCTCAAAATCCCTCGAAAACATGTGCCACATAAATATATGAGCTCAGTTATAAACAGCCGTGTTCTCTTTAGAATCAGAAGCAACTGTTTAGCTTTATTAGGCACCACAGACACATCAAAGCCAAGGGCCCTGTGCTTGGCAACTTGGAGTCCTGCCTATGACTATTTATTTTTCTGCCTTTTTTTTTTTTAATGAAGTGGGTTTTTTTGTGTGTGTTGTTGTTGTTGTTGTTGTTTTTGATTTGTTTTGTTTTTTAACCTTTCTTCACCTTATAGCTTAAAAGGCTGCACAAATCTGGCTTTGCTCTCTAAAGGTCTCCAGTTCAAAAGGAGAAAATTGGGGCACCATCTGACTCATTGCCTTGGTTTCCTATGCAGTTTTATTTTATTAAATAATGGTTTCAACGAAATAGTGCAAGACGGTATTTGGTTACACTGCTGTCTACAGTCCTAACCCACCTTTATTGTCATGAAGTTTTCCCAAAACTCCGAACTAGAAAATTAGTCAAGATTGTTCTTGTCTAGCCRTCAAAAGATAGTTTGGCTGGTTCTTGTAATGGGTACCCAGGGAGCTCTTGAGACAAATTCTGAATTTGGGGGGAAAAAAAAACATGCTTAAGAGGAAGGGGGGGCATGAGTAAGTCATTACCTATCTGTCAATATTAAGTGGATTTTACAACTCCCCTTTCATGACGGCGCTTTAACTACGGGCTCTCTCGGCTGATCTGTTTTCGATTACTTCAGATCTTTATAAAATGAACTACAAAAACACAATTTTAAAAACTGGCATCCATCACCAGTGGCCACGTCCAAAAGTAAGAAAATAGAAAAGTTGGACCCCGAAGAGCCAGTCTAATTTTTATTGTACGTGAATGTCCTCTTCACAAAAAGTCAGCTGGTTTAAATTCATTCTGTTATGATTTGTAATATCTAAATGGAATTTTCTTCAAAGCGCCCTTGATTGATTGACCCTTAGCTGAACGTTTTGTTTTTATTTTGAGGCTGACAATAATGTTTGTTGGCATGTGTTCTGCTTCAACTGCGTTGGGACGCCATGAAGCTATCTTTATGAGTCATCCAACCACAATACTAAATACATGTCAGCAAAGGAAATATTATCTGAAAAGGGAAAAATCCCTTTGATGTGCTTCAACATGCAGAGATTTCTGCGAGTTTTGGAAGCTCTGCCCGCTTGTAAGGAACGGTGTACGCTTACACATTTTTCCCCCCCTTTCGGCCTACTCCATGCCTCAGAAGACCACCCATTGCTCAAAAACAGTCCTGCTCTTTCAGCGGCAAAGTGTGTCATTTGGTTTTAGCACATTCATTTGCCGGGCGCTGTGTTTATATTAAGAGAAGCCAAACCGAGAGATGAAATGTTACAAGGGTGAAGTACAAAGTAGACTCAATTTTTCTCAAGTTAGGAGATGCCAGTGATTTATAGCTCGCTCCAATTTTGATTTTTTTTTTTTTATGTAGCAGTGGAAAGAATTAATAAAATGCACAGCTCTAGAGATGCAGAGGGAGGGAGGGTTGGTGAGGACCAGACAACCGGCTGGAGTTTTTGTCAGATATTCATAGAATGTTGGGAAAAAACATTCTGCTTAGCTAGCAGTGCCCTCGTGAGACAGAATGGCAGCAAGTAAGGAAAATAACAAGATAAATGCAATTTTTGCAGCTGCAAGTAAAATATTGAGAATCTGCACTTTTTTATTGATCTTTATGATCCTATTGCCAAGAGCCACTTTGTGGTGACAAAATATGTTGACAAGTGCATATCTCACTGCCATGAAAAATGTGGAGAAGGATTCTCCTTATGTCTGCAGTGTTGTACAAGGAACAAATTGCCCTGCTACAGCCAATTCCTCACAGAAAGGCGAAATTTAAGGCCCACCAACCCCAAACACTTTTATCTGGAACTTGAGGCTCATATTTGTAGCCATTCCTCATTGAGAAAACCAGTCGCGATCTCCTCATTTTTTTTTTAATCTGTAGATTTTTCTTTACGGTATCAAAGCTGAGATAAAAAATGTTTATTTCTTGGTACCTTCACTGTATCATTCCAGAGTGTAATCTTTCAGCCAGCGTAAAGTGCTCCTCTTGTATTTATTGAATTTCCATCCATTTCACATAAGAGAGTTTTTTTTTTCCCTCTTCTCCTGTATCCAACTTCATAAAAAAAAAAAAAAAGGCAGTGGAGAGGATTTTTATTTCTCTTAGTCCTTATATCACAAAGCTGTTCATTTTTATTACAAATTTGGGAACTCCCAATGCCCGGTTGCCAGAATTACACTTACTGCTTTTCCTTCAAATAAGAGATCAATAGTATTAATTTATATATGAGGTTGAGACACCACTGTCTTYGCAGTTTGCCAAGAGAGAATTTTCTCATTAGCGTGAGATGGAATTTGTTTTAAATGAACTTTGCCTTTCTGCCATCTCCTGGGCCAAATATCTATCTCTTCAAGACCCTCTGTGGAGGCACACGGTGGAAATAAACTCTATGCTGTTTATCATACTGAGTTACAGGCTCTGATTGATTGCTGGGGACGATATGGTGGGTGTAGATTTATTATAAACAAACTGTTTAGGTGGAGCTGGGCAGAAAGTTCTCGGGGCAATAAAAATGTGGCGGGGGCACATGAGTCCTACGTATTACTAAGCTGGGTTTTCTTTTGTTTTGAATAGGTCGAATATATTCTACCGAGCCTGTATAGATATCCCTAGGGGCACCGAGCTTCTGGTGTGGTACAATGACAGCTATACGTCTTTCTTTGGGATCCCCTTACAATGCATTGCCCAGGATGAAAACTGTAAGAATTTATTTTAGCTCTGAATTCACGTCTTAAAAATACCTAGTTCAAAACTAACTTTTTAAGAGTGTTTTTTAAAAAGAAACAAACAAACAAGCAAAAAACTTCTGAAACATGGTTTACTGTGATACCTGATGYAAACCGGCAAAACTTGTGTTCATTCTATGGTTTTCTTTATCCTGTATGATGTTTGCTTTTTGGTAGGGCATCTTAACCCATGCCAGCCACTTTTTCTTTGCCTGTGCACAATTTCAAAGCCTTTGCCAGAGTTTTAAATAATTGCTGACAGCAAAGTGAARCCAGCTGGTATTCACTAAGTGCCTACTATTATGTGTCTGGTTCTGTGCTTGCCACCTGGGGTTATAAGAGCAGCGTAAGATACAGCTTCTGCTCTGAAAGGATGCAAAGTCTTGTTGGACCCATGCTCTCTGCACAAATGAAATAATGAGAAAACAATGCTGTTTAATGAGGAGTAGTACCCCTGAAGTCATTGGCTGGGTGTGCTTCCTTCTAAGTAGTCATTAGAATGATAGTAAAAAATCATAGATAGGTGATGGTAGAATTTGTGTCTTTTTAAATTCTTTGTCCAAAACCATGTTAAGAATATAATTTTCTTTTACCTTTGTTACCATGCCAACCATTATCTTTAAGGGAATAATCTAACATTTAGACATACGTGAACTTGAAGCAACTTTCACTAAGACTTTGTATTTTTGTTTTACAAGTCTATGGAAAACATTTCAATACTGATGTGATTCAGTGAGAAACACTGGTTTCAGTGATGTTGTGTTTTCTTGTCACTAAATTGACTGATCTTTGAACTGATAATATGAGATTATGCTTCAAAAAAGAACAGAGACAACAGATCTATCTGTTAATGAATAGGAAACTTCATTTTGAAAGAAAGTGTTGTTCTCCTTTTTCCTTCTCCCTGACTCTCTCAGTCACACATGCACACACACTAACTCTAATAAAACATACTCATATTACTACTGGTCAAAATGCTGATGATCAGATATTTCTTTCTCATGTTGTCTTTAATTTCTTTATAAAAAAAAAAAGTAAAGTCCTCAAAAAGCCTATCACTATCAACTTTCTTTTTCTATTTTACCCTAACCCCAAACCAATCCCAAATCAAAAAAATAAATCTTTGGACATATAGCACATTCCTCTCACCAAATTTCCATTGGAAAGTTTCTTTTCTGCAGTGATACTCCTATTTGAGGGAGTGCCTGTTTTCATAGGAGAAAATCTCGGTATTGGACACGAGTGTGCGGTTGGTGCTAGAGGCAGATATGGACATGGAGGCCACTGTGCTCTGCTCTCTTTCCCAGAACAGCTCCATGCCTGTCTCCCCTGAAACTAGATCCAGGGCCATGCATGTAACAGCTCCAGTATCAGCCCCTGATCAGCTGACAGGGACTTGTCTGTATGTGGAAGCTTAACATAATCTCACCTCCTAAAGTGTGGAGTTTAATCCAAAAGGTTTCTAGAAATCCTGTGAAGCCCCTTATTCCCCCTTTAACACACCTGCTATAGGCTCTGAAGTCATTGGGCTGTATGTGTATTGCAGACTATTTGGGAGTAACCATGTCAAAGCCTCGAGTCCTAAAGTGTATAATCCAGTCTTAACATTCTTTCATCCATTCTTTATTCAGGTATTTATTGAACACTTATCATGAGCCAGTGTTTTATATCTATTATAAATGAAGGAGGGGACAAACAGACAAGAAGTCCTGCCTTAATGGAACTCATATTCTAGCAGAGGGAGGGAATCCAGAAATATGTAAATAAATAGTTGGTCATATGGTGATGTGTAGTAGAGCTAATACAACAGAAAAGGGTAAGTGGAGCCAGGAGTTGGGGGTTGCAGGTACTGGGAATGACTGGGGAAGGCCCCAAAGGGAGGTTGCCTTTGGGCAAAGACTTAAGACTTAAAGGCTGCAAGATGAGAGGTGCATCACAGATGTTGGTATGGGCATGGCAGAGTGAGTGAGCAGGAGTAGATAACTCAGGTACAGGGGCATACGTCTGGTCAGGCCCTGGGGGCCACTGTCAGTACCCTGGCTTTCACTCTGTGTGAGCCAGCCTGGAGCTGGTGTGGAGTTTCCAGCAGGAAAGTGAGATGATCTGACTGAAGTTTTAACAGGATTATTCTGTCTCCTGAGTGGGAGTAGACCGGAGCCGTGAGAGAGAGCAAGGAATCCAGTTAGAGTCTCTTGCAGGAACCCAGGGGAGAGATGACGGTGGTTTGGACCAGCATGGAAGTGGTGGAGGTGGTGAGAAGAAGCTGGATTCTGAACATATTTTGAAAGTAAAGCCAATAGCCTTTTCTGACATGTTAGATGCTGTGAAAAAGAAGAGTTGAGATGATCCTGAGGTTTTGGTCTGAGGAACTGGAAAGGCAGCATGACCGTTTACTGAATTCTGAGACAGAAAGGGAAACCGTGGAATGACTGCTTAGGGATTGCCTTTCTCGTCTTTGACGTGCATCTCTGAAGCAGGAGCTCCACATCCACTTTACCAGGCTGTTACAGGGTGGGGGAGATGGAGGGGTCAGTTGGAGAATCTGGGGGTTTGTCTGCAGTTCACTGCCACCCGACAACAGGTGTGGCCGAGAGTCTGTGGTCTCCAATTTGGGGCTGTTGACAATGTGCCATTGAAAATGTATTTTCTGGAAACATCATATTGTTTGTTCTTCAGTTTGTCTGTCTCCTGTGGTCCCATCGTGTGAAGCATTCTTGGGGTTGATGATTAGAATATTGAATAAAGTCTACCAGGGCCTGTGTTGTATCATTGAGCCCTTGAAATCCTTGAAAGAAAATTCACAAAGCCATAGCAGTTTGAAGTACTGAGGATTCAGTAGGAAAACTGAGCAGCTCTCCTAGGTTCAGTTCAGAGCCCTAAGTAAGGGTTAAGGGAAGTTTAAAGGGGATTAAGTCATGGATAAAAGGCTCAACAGTGACAATGCCTCTTTCCCCTGAGGGTATTATAGGAATTTTATTTCAGTTCCTGTCTCAAAGTCATATAWCTGTCATGTGATTGGCCACCCAAGAAACCTGCAGAAGGCTTCATCAGATAGTGTGGGAGAGATATACGGCTTTAGCTCTAAGATAGATTCCCATTCCATATGATTCACTGAGAGACCTGGGAATGCTTTATTATAATCAGGGTTCCTTATTCTGTGCCGAGAAAAATACTCYGTATGATTTAAAAGCACAAATGTGTGAAAGGGCATGGACAGAGAATTTAACAGATAGCCTTCCATAGCCTTGAGTACTTTAAATCCTCTCAACTGGATTAGCAATTCTAGGACCATTTTTATCCCACAAGCTAGCCCCCAAATAAATTAGTTACCTTAAAAGAAGCTTCTTGAGATCAAATACCGATTGGTTAAAATGCCCCCAGAGAGCCTCCTTATGTGGCCATGCATACAATAAACAATTAAGACATGCTCACTGGATAAATATGAAGAATTTCTATGGCCATTATTAGAAGAGATTGAAGCTTCAGCCAGATCTTTCCTTGTTCATGAAATTGACCCCTCGACCAAGACATTCAAGGACTACATGATTTTACTTAGCAAATAATACTTATTAAGCACTTTCATCTATAAAAATATCATTTTCTTCCCATGGTTCTTTCAACATTGAAAGCACACATTTCCCGTTGAGCGTGTGCAGGGGGCTCAGGCTGGGGTAAGTGCCCCCCTTGGTCAGCAGCCTGCAGCAGTGGGGCGCGCTGGGCAYACTTGCTGTCCGACAAGCCAGTGAAAGCCGCCTGCACTCGGAGAGAAGTCAGGGTTTCACACAGGCATTTGGAAGCAATTCCTATGTTATTTTCTTTTTCAAGAATCACAGTTATACATGTAATAGAGCTCCAAAGAGAGAGCCCCTCCATCCACTGTGGGCCTTTCAAAAGAGCCTGAAGGAACGCGGGTGCCGACAGATCGCATCCGCAAGAAGGAACGAAGTTCCCCCAAAGCTTCCAGTGGGGGATTAGCTCCTGCAGAGTGTAAAGACCATGGTGCATTCATATTCATTTCAGAGGAAATTAAAAARAAAATCCTGGGAATAAATGTTAAACAAGTCTTCCTGCTGCTTTTTCTGTCTTGGCATATGAAGCTGAGGTTGCAGAATGTGAAACTCAATGGCAACGGGGGAGTTGCGCTGGGTTAGACCCTGCCTCAGGGAGGCCTGCCTGTTTCTTTTGATTTGAAAGAAGAGAAAATAAAAAGGGGCACCTCTGCACAGTGCCTCTCATCCCCACCATCCCACCAACAACGGGAAACCAGGCCCAGAGTAAAGAAGGCCCCACTCAAGCAGTACTCGTCCTGACCTTTAGTTCAGTCCAACAGGACTGTCCAATAGGAATATTCCTAGGCAAGGGCCCAAGGGAAGCATCGTGATGGTGTGCAAAAACTAAGGCCTGTCCTGAGTTGAGAAGGATAGAAGGTGCATTAAGTAGACAACTTTAATATAAGACACCATACAGTTTCTGGGTTAGGTGGCCACAGCACTGAGCCTGAGCTGGGGGGGTTAGGCTGAGGATGAATGGGAAGAGCCAGAGTTCCAAGCCTGTGTACAGAGGGAGGCTGGGATTGGGTTCCTTATATAAGTCCAGGAATGGGAAGGTTCTTCTTCTGTCCCTCAATAGGGACTAGAAAAATGCTGCCCTTAAGCCTAAGGGTCAGGCAACTGTCATCCATGGGTGAAAACTAGCTGTAGTTAGCTGTAGAATGGCACAGGGCTTGACTTTACACTATCTGCCAGATATGGAACCCCCGGACCAAGAAACCAATATAAAAGTTGGTCTAGAGCTAGAGAAACCTTGAAGTTTCTAGAAAAAACAATGGAGAAATGGAATGCCTCTGTATCTGCATGGGACTCCAACAGAAGGCAGCAATCTACCTTCTGGGAAAGCCACTGTCATGAGAGATCTGACTGTGGGGTGCTGTAGGATGCAATGGCACTGCTTCTCTCCCAGCCTCATTGCAGGAG